TGGTAGTTGTCAACTTTCTTTGTCATGACTTCTCATTTTAAATTCTTAGCCAATAAGATTTTCTCAGACTACGTTCTGTTCTGTGTGTGTGTGTGTGTTGGTGGTTATAGTAAATAAGTTTTTTCCAGAGGCATCCTCCTACCCACATTTGCTGATCTAAAACAAGTGGTTTGGTAAGCATATTCATTGAATGCCAATCCCACAAAATTTACCCCAAAAATCGTTCCACTGCCAACCCTATATACCAATGGATTGTAAAGGACCCAAGTCCTGTAGAACCTTTGAAATGCTAATATGTGTGGTTTCCCAAACTTCCTGGACCATGGATCCTTTTTCCTTAATACCTATCAACCTTGGCACACACCTGGGTACACAGTGGCAGAGTCTACAGTTGCTTCACTAATTACTTTGCTGTGTGCTGTACCCAGTTTTGTTTGGGTGGTAGAAGCTCACTAAGGTATTTGCATCACAGCCAAGGATAAGGGCTTCTTCCTTCCTGTGCAAGGGAGGCCTGGAATGTTACTGTGGACATTGAAAACAACATGGAACTGAATTCATAGCATGTTGACGTTTCAGAACAAGAGTTTACACTTTCTCCCTCCTTTTTTCCCTATTGCCCTCGATTGATAAATAAGTTTCAATTGGGAATGCGTTTCTAGCCAGAAATGCTGAAGCCATTTTTGATGTCTGTGTGTGGCCTGATTCACCATTGAGTCCGAAAATGTTCACCAAGCCCAGGCTTCAAAGAAAAGCATCCGGGAATCTGGGTCACCATTGAATTCCATCCTGAGGCTGTGTGGCAAAACAATCTTGGTTTTGCTGCCCTTGTTTATATCATATCACCACTGTAAGAAAAAGTGTGGTAAAAACGAGTGTTTCTCAAAGTCTACGATAAGTGAAAATGCTGATGGAATGAAAGAACTGGAGGAAGGGGGAAGAAAGGTACACAGACAGCTGCCTGCCCTGGTCAGGGTCTGACAGCATCTGCAGGGGTCCACCAGGGTCACCTGGACAGGGCCCGCTGGCCCTTTTCTTGGAGCTTTTCAGAGGCTTTAAGAACAGACTTCGGTAGCAGACTGTGCCTAGGAAATGTGTAATTTTTAATGTAATAGTGGTTTTTGTGATTTGGTTTTATTTAAAATCTCCCATTTGAAGCCATTTACATTATTGAATAATAGTAGTAATCCCAGGGTTCTTACTCTTCCAGTTGGTTGGTGTCTTCTAAAGAGCAATCCAAGTCAGAGAAGAAACAAACAATTTGACCACAACGTAATTGTCTGCACTATTCAGTCCCTCTGAATGTCACCACAAGGTGCCAGCTCAAGTTCTTTTTTTGAAGAGTGGTCCAAAGTGTCCACCTGCCCTGGGCCCCATTGGTGCTTTTGAAGGGCCAATTGTGTGTGGCTTCCTTTCTGTTTCTGAGCTTCTTTGTTAGTCCCTGGTGGTCAGGACCCTGATAACAAGCCCACTGTCAATGTGGCTGATGCTGCCACTAGAGCCACCCCACGGCGGATGACCAGTTGTTGCACTGACAGTCCACTGGCAGGAGCTGCAAGGGTGTGGGCTGCTTCTGGAGTCCTGAAGAGGCCCACACAGCACTCAGGCCTCTGGAGTCCTGAAGAGGCCCACACGGCACTCAATGTAGTCAATTACATTGTCAAGGTAATGCCAGGGGAGCTGCCTGTAGCCACTATGGAAGCAAAAAGGAGCAAACTCAGTAGTCCAGGGGACAGGGGGAAGTGACTTAGAATCAGGAAGCCTAGGTTAACCACCTGGCTGCATTTGTTATACTGTATGACTGGTCATTAACCTCTATGCCTTACAAGAGAAATTCCTGCACCATAGAAAAATACCTACCTGATGTACTTTGCAAGCAGGACCAGAGGAGGAAATATGTGGGAAAGCATCTTAAACTATTGAATTTGACATACAGATAAAGCTTACTACGAAGATCAGATGAGGAGTGTTCCTGTCTGAGCCTATCCTTATGATAACATATGACACATCGAGTATAACATTTATGTATGACTTCAAAAGCACATATTGAACCCTTAGTTGATTGTGTCTTACTGTACTCTTGTGACAATTTATGCTCCTAGAGTGTTGATCAACTGGTTCTGTATTGCACTGCTCAGGGCTGTAGTGGATTGAATTATGTTCCCCCGAACTCATTGAAGCTTGAATTGTGTCCCCCTAGTTTTGTGTATTAGAAACTTAGCCCCCACTGTGACTGTTGGGACGGTGGGAAATTCTATCATGATAATTGAAAGGTGAGGCCTTGGGGAGGTGATTAGATTGTAGGACTGTGTCCTAGTGAATGGATTAAAAATGGTGGTCAGGGGCGTGATTCTGAGGGCTTTGAAAGGAGATTGAATGAGAACGTTGGTCTCTCCACCATTTTCACAGTACGATACCTGCCTTCACTGAAGTTACCACCAAAGAAAGCGTTCACCGGATGTGTACCCTGGACTTTGGACTTCCCAGTCTCTGAAACTGTAAGCAATGAATTTCATTTTCTTTATAAATCATTCAGTTTCAGGTATTTTGTTAAAAGCAACAGAAACAGACTAATACAAAGGGATAGTGCAGGATGAGATGAAGTCATGGACACATAACCTGTAAGGGCTTTGGGCTATTTCCATGCATGCCTAGCACTCACTACTGGCCTGGGGGCAGGAGGGAACCCTGTGGGTCAAAGCCAAGGCCATCACTTCATCATGTGGACAGTTGGTGGGTGAACCAGACAGGTGCTTGTTTGCCTGATGAGGTGGAGAGAGTTACCCAGGGGAGGTGCCCCAACAGCCAGTTCGTACAGCCAGGCTTACCTCCTCAGATGACAGCTGTAGGCCAAGATCTGGCCTTCTGTCCTGGGGTGGAGTTCAGTGGTAAGGTGAGCTCTAGGGTCTGACGGGTCATGCTTGGACCTTCCATCTCGCCTT